CACTAGTAAGAATAAATATTTTTTATATTATAAAACAATTTTAACTTCCGGCTTCACAAACAGATAATTAAAATATACAGCGCTAATGTTTTTCTCGTGTTATAATTATTATTTTCAACAAATTATTATTGGGTAATTTAATATATTTTGATGCAATAGTAACTATATTATATAGCAAATCTCGCGATTCTTTATAGTACTGGAACAATTTTATAAGTTGAGAAAATATGCACTAGTAAGAATAAAAATTTTTTATATTATGAAATAATTTTAATTTCCGGCTTCACAAATAGATAATTAACATATACAGCGCTAATGTTTTTTTTGTGTTATAAATATTATTTTCAACAAATTATTATTGGGTAATTTAATATATTTTAATGCAATAGTAACTATATTATATAGCAAATCTCGCGATTCTTTATGATACTGGAAGAATTTTATAAAAGTTTCTTTGTGATTAATATTTACCACAATAAACATATTAATATTTAGAATATAATTATTATTATTTAGAATTTTATTATTAAATAATAATATCTACTACAATAAGGTATAAAATATGTTTAATTAATTTTACTATGTACATAGTAAATATTTCTAGTGTATAGTTATATATTTTAGGTGGATGAAACCTAGTATTTTGCATTGCGAAAAACATAAAAGGAAGAGAGAATTAGCGAAAATGTTTTTATTAAAAAATATAAGAATAACATTAATTTGCAAAAAAACACAGAAAATCTAAATCTGATTTATGATAAGTTGGTCCACAGTATATAATTGTTTATTTTTTAATTTATTTATTTCGTTGTATTGACGAACTTTGATATTATTGTGTTCTTAACGTTTGACTTAAATTGATTTACTTGTCTTCAGTTTAACATTAGTAATTTTACTGCTGTCGAATAAACATCTTAAAAGGTACATTACATTATTTTTATATTATTTAAAATTTTTTCGTTAACATCTTTGTAAATTATTTCATATCTTAATCATTGTATATTTTTTTTGTGCAGTTACATTTGAAAAGGATCCATACTTAAGTGTTGAAATGTAGTGTTTCTAATTAAATTGTAATGGCCAGTTAGATCGAAATTTCAATAAATTAATTAAATAAGTTACTAAACTAGAAAAAAATTTTTACTACGAAAACGCGTAATTCTTATTTCTATTGTTTACAACAAACTGCAAAGGAAGACAGCAGTACATATATTTATATTTAATATAAAGTTACTAACAAGGAAACCATCACAAGTGTCCGACGCCGTTTTGATTTTTTTTGAAATATGTTATAAAGTACACAAATTTATAGTACACGTATTTTTTTGTACGTGCCCAATCGAAGGTTTAGAAGGTGGTTCACTCTTATGCAAAAATGAATTTTTTCTTTTGCAAGGAAATATTATTTAAACAAAATAAATAAAATGTTTGAAACAAAAGTAACTCGGTATTTTATGCACTTTATGCCTGTGTACTTCAAATTTAAAAAATTTAAAATTTTTTCGAAATCTTTCCCCATACCGTCCAATGACAAATTCTATAATTTCCAATTTGTTCATAAAATAGGAAAATTAAAAAGTTAAGCAGTTTTGATTGTTATACTATTTAACAATTATAATCTTACTCACTTAATGTTAATCAACGCTGCTTATACATGAAATGTTTGCACTGGTAGTGAATTATTTTGTCTGAGTGTCTTTTGTATAATTTTCAAATCTTACACCATTTTCTAACTACATCCCTCATTATAGAAGGTAACTGTTTTATCAAATCTTATCCTGCATCAAAATTTCTCAATACTACATTGTTCTTGATAGATAACTATTTACCTGAAAATTAACTTAACCCACTAACTCGGACTAATTTCAGGTTATACTACTCACGAATATACTTTTGTCGACGTATTGCATATTTTTAAATAATGTCATATAGGCATAAAATATATTTTTAAATGTCATTAAAATTTCTCAAAACTAAATTGTTCTTATAGGATAACTTTTCGTGAAAATTAACTAAGATATTAAGTCGGACAAATCTCGGGCTGTACTACTCATAAATATATTATTGTCTGCCTATTGCATATTTTAAAATAATGTCGTTAAATCTCTAAATACATCGTTTTTTGGTAGATAATTACTTTTGTGAAATTAGAATAAAGTAATGAATCGGACTAATTTCGGGTTTTAATACTCAGGAATATATTTTTATCGGCGTATAGTATATTTTTACATAATGTCCTCATATCTTTCAATATTACATTATTTATTGTAGGTAACTACTTTCTTGCAAATTAGCTTAGTCCATTAAGTCGGAATAATCTTAGTTTATACTACTAACAAATATATTTTTGTCGGCGTATAATATATTTTTAAATAATGTCATATCGGCGTAGAGTATATTTTTAAATAATGTCATTAAAATATACCATTATTACATTGTTCTTAATAAAGACCCATTTTCGTAAAAATTAACTTAATTCACATTACGTCGGACGAATCTCAAGTTATACTACTCACGAATACATTTGTGTCGGCGTACAGCATATTTTTACATAATGTTGTCAAATCTGTTAATACTACTTTGTTTGTGGTAAATATATTTTTGTGAAAATTAGTTTATTGTTAGTCCATTAAATCGGATTAATCTCAGATTATACTACTCACAAATATATATTTTTGTCGGCGTATTGATATTTTAAAATAACATCGTCAAATTTTCTTAATACTACATCGTTTTTAGTAGATAACTACCTTCGTGAAAATTAACTTAATCCACAAAAGTTTATAATAAACTAGATTGCTAACATGGATTTCGGACGTGCGTCGTATGAAGTTTCCAGTTGTATGAGAGAAAATGGCGGCAGTCTTGAATATGTCAGCATGATCGATGAATTTGTTGTCATAAATAGTGCTGTCATAAAAACTTCTGTCAGAAGAAATAAAACAATAGCACATTTCATAGCCACGCTGATACACATAGTCACTATATGTAAAACTCACATAAATATCAACATGATCGATAAAATTGTTGTCATAAATAGTGCTGTCATAAAAACTGCTGTCAATAGAAATAAAACAATAGCACATTTCATAGCCACGCTGATACACACAGACACTATATGTAAAACTTACATAAATGTCAAGTTTGACACACAAAATCGCCGCCATTTCCTCTTATACAACCGGAAACGTCATACAACGCAAGTCATACTATTCAAATAGTGACATGTTGGTAATCTAGTTTAGTATAGACATCTGTCTTAATCTATTAAGTTGGATTAATATCGAGTTATACTACTCACGAATGTATTTGTGTCGGCGTATAGCATATTTTTACATAATGTCGTCAAATCTGTTAATACTACTTTGCTTTTGGTAAATATATTTTTGTGAAAATTAGCTTATTGTGTTAGTCCATTAAGTCGGATTAATCTCAGGTTATACTACTCACAAATATATATTTTTGTCTGCGTATAGTATATTTTTAAATAATGTTATAATGGCATATTTGTAAATAATGTCTTCAAATTTTCTTAATACCACATCGTTTTTTGTAGATAATTGCGTTTGTGAAAATTAGCAGTTCACAAAGTCGGACTAATTTCGGGTTATATTACTCTTGAATACATTTTTATTGGCGTATAGCATATTTTTAAATAATGTCATAACGGCATAAAATTTATTTTATACATCAAAGCATATCATTTGCTTTTAAAGCCAAAAATTTTTATTTATTTATAATTATATAAATAAACGTTATTTCGTACATCAAAATATAATTATGAAAATATAAAAAAATAGATAGATACCTATATACGCATGTAGCATATATCAAGTAAAAAGGAATCAAACATTTATCTATTCTGTTATAATTGGACCATGAAAACAAAAGATGTTCATTTGATATATTATTTTAAAATAAAGTATGATGTCATATCAATATTACAGCAAAATTAAAAATAAAATAATGTTAAGCATATGGTTATACATATTTAAAGTAGAAAAAGACAATTCATTTGTTTTTATATCTTATTACAATATAGAAATAATATTTTATATCTTATCACAATATAAAAATAATATTTTTACTAATTTTATAAGCTGTACTATGTAAATAATATATAATGTTAAATTTTGACAACAAATGGTGTTTTCCTAACATTTCCCCTATCGTTCCCGATATAAATAATTTCATGACAATTTTATGACAAGAGAATATTGAATATATATACATACATAAATGCATTTAAATAAATATATGTATATAACATATTAATACAATAAACATATATGTACATACATATTTTAAAAATACAATATGTACGTATATAAAAATATTCAATGCATATATATATATATATCTATATGCATAACACATACCATACATATGTATGTGTAAATACATATATGCACATATATTTTCTGATTTACTGTAATTTAACATTTACATATTATCAGATAATCACATCGACTTTTTCTAATATAATATGTCCTTTTGGTCAGTGAAAAAAACGACAGTAATAACGACAGTAGTAAAACGAAACAATTGTAAAACAATAATATTCAAGAATAAAATAAAAAATGTAAGAATAAATTAATGACTATACTCAAACAAATTATATTTCCAAAATACTTTAAGCGATACGATGTTTTCTTCTTCTCTTAATCTTCCGAAGATTCATAAATGTAACTTAATTTAAAATCAAACGAATGTAAATTTTTATGCCATTATAACAATAACTTAATTTAATATCAAGCGAATGTACATTTTTATGCTACGAAAGATTGATTTATGTCACCGAAATCTTAAAAGAATTTGATTCTAAATTCTATTTTATTTTATCAATAAATCATTATTTCTGTGCACCCTTTTCTTTTTATTTGTTAAATAAAATAATAAATGCTTCTTCACGACTACAGTACATATAGAAATAATACGCAAACCGACCAATTTCATATTGTATTATATTTTATTTTACAATATGTAAATAAAAAAATAAAACTTCAAATTTTTAATTAAACAAAACATTTTGGCTATAATATCACGCAGTAGGTTCGCACTTTGTTTCCTATATATGTGCTTTAATTATAGAAAAGCATTTATTATTTTAATTAACCAATAAAAAGAAACCAATGTTTTATCAATAAAACAGGACGGCGTTTAGAATCCCTTTAACTCAAATCGACAAAAGATTGACTCGAAAGAAATTATAGCTTCAACAATTGCAGCATTTTGTAGAAACTACAAATTTGTTATTAGTATTCGTTTCATAGTATTGTATGTCCGATTCGTATACCTACAAATTTAATATATATTCGTTCGTCTCATCTAATAGAAAAAAAAACAGCTTATTCGAATTCATTGCAAACGCCGATAAAGAGGATGTTTCGATGCTGTTTGTCATAAATCAGCCAGACAAACGGATATTTGGATTGCACGTCGACTATTACACTCGAGTTTGGAAGGGAGCTTACTCCGGTGATCAAAGTCATCGCGCCCGCGACGGTGGCCTCTTTTGTAACCTTGACGTGAGTATGGTGCACGACGTTGCCGAAATGCACTTTGTGTCCGTCTTTTGCGAAAGAACTGTCCAGATTGACGGCGTCGGATGTCAATAATTGTTGGCAGCCTATTGATCGCAGCAACAGGAGTATATTAAAATCTTTCTCCAATTCGAAGACCGGCCAATATGAAAAATTTGTAACTCTTAATAATGAAGCCTGATGATCCAAGATCTTGCGCAATTCGAGCATTCCTCTTTTGGTCCACAATAAATTGATCATATTAGAAATGGCAACGTGGTTAAACATCACTTTCCATTTGTTGTCTGTGTCGAAGAAACAGGGTGCCAACACAAACAGCGATGTATTTCCATTCTTGTAGGGAAACTCGCTTACAAGTATTTGTAATTTCTTATGGAAACCTGGAAAAGAAAAATTATTGAAAATGTAGAGGAGAAAGACAACAGTAATTATTTAATTTTCTTGGTTTTTTATGTACATATTTAGTCAAGATTTGTTATCAAGAGACACGGTAGTGTCTCGCGACCAGTTAAGGGCGTAGCGGAGACACCGTGTATCTTAACGCGAGTCGGACATTTGAGTCTTTATAATATTTCGAATCCTCAATAATGGCTGAAGCAATCGAGTTTATACTAGACTTAATCGATAGATTGAGTTCGAATTATATAATAAAAGTGTCTTTATTTCTGCTCTACGTGATTTGTAAGCAGAGATATATAAATGCAAAGTCGAAATATGAAAAATTTCTATTAAGAAACGTCCCCGTCATCATTATCATCATTATATGTATCATCGACCACGCATACATAGTAGTTATCGTGTTACACGTATTCAGACGTATACAACACATGCGCACACACACGTATACACGTCACACGTACACAACACATGCAAGATGCATGTAGTGGTAATTTTGTCCATCTCGCACGTTTTACAACAGATGGCGATAGTGGCGCTCCGCCATATCGGCAGCGTGCGGGGTTATGTTGGCTAACTCTCTCTCTCTCTCTCTCTCTCTCTCTCTCTCTCTCACACGCACACACACACACACTCTCTCATTCTCACTCACTCACTCACTGTTCGTCTTGTGTACTTATTTAGTACATTCATGATTAAACATCTATATGCATTAATGTGAAATTTACTTACAATTAGTTTACTTGAAATATTCAATCTCTAAAGTGTTTATCTTATAAGATAGACAAAAAAATCTGAGTAAATAATAAGAAAAAAAAACAAGGATTATTATTGTCATAATTTTTTATCAATTAAGTACTCTCAACTATCCAATAATTAAATAAATACGTACAAATGTGCGCGCGTGTACACACATACACATATTGATATTAAAGAGATTGAAGGAGAGGAAGGAGAAGATAAAAATTTAAATATTCACATATATTTTCAAATATTATATATGAATTTATAGTTTACATATCTAATTAATAATGAATTTCTAATTATATTAAACATATCAAAATAAAGACATACATGTATTTATCAAATGAATAAAATTATTGAATACAGACTTAAAAAATTTATTAAACATAGACTTAAAAAATTAATTAATTAAACATATTCCAAATTTAGAAAAAATAAACTTTATTTATATATGCAACAGCTTTTTAAACTAAATTTTTAAATTCTATTTTATATTAGACAATTATCTCAATCAACATCTACGTCCACATTAGCTGCACTGCAGACTACCTCTACAGCCACATTATCTGCTCCGCGGATATAGCGTTATGCCAATACGATACATTACATGTACTTACTTACTTGCCTTTACTGTACCAACTCTTGTTCTTTCCACGTAATCATGTTTTTACAGTTATCGTTTGCTGTATATCTTCCAGCAAACTTTATTTCGTGTGAAGTGTATTTAATTAATTAAATCTCTGCGAAAGATTGAGAAGATGAAGGGATAATTCAAACTATGAAGACATGGTTACATGGAAAAGACAAGAGTTGATACAATAATAAAGACATACATGTATTTGTATCCTGCTGGCATAAGGTTATAGAAGTTGATTGAGATTGAAAAATAATAATGAAAATAATAAAAAAAATAAAGACACATGTATTTGTATCGTGCTGGCATAAAGTTATAAAAGTTGATTGAGATTGAAAAATAATAATAAAAATAATTAAAAAAAGGAAATATTCAATCATCATTTAAAAGCATATTTGAAATCTGTAGAATAAACAGTTTTTGCAAAAAATGTGGAGCATTTGAGCTCTAGTAAGTCTAAAAATAAATGTAAACATCAATTAATAATAACTGATGTTATATATATATTATATATATAAACCAATTTGTTGCAATATTCACTATAAAAGGTTGTAAGGGTAAGATGGCTAAAAGTGAATAATTTAAAAGATAGTTAACATAATTTTACATAAACTGAAATATTTCATAAAATAAAATATTTGTAATATTTCGAAGTTTATGTAAGATTATGTAAAAATTATACCTTTACAACTTTTTATAGTAAATATTGCGAGGAATCGATTTATATGAGAAAAATTAAGGTAATTCTATTTTGAAAATATAAGTGACCTTTAAATAACCTTGAAAATCGCCGTTTAGGAAAAAGTCTGTGTCAACTTTTTCTTTTTCGAAATCCTGCAACTTTTATCTAAATTTAATAGAAAATGTATAAAAAATGCTCGACATTAGTACACACACACACACACACACACACACACATATGGGTAAATTTATATAAATAGGGTGCTTTAGGAGGAATGATCAGGATTCTAGGATATGATTGTACACATCATTTTAAGCAAAGAAGTTTAGATAAACATGTTTAATAATTGTTCTATTCCGGTCATAAAAATATACAAAAATGAATGATATAATCTCTAAAAACTCACCTTTAAAAAAAGGTAAAAAAAGGCGACCAGTTAAGGGCACGCCATTAACAAAAATTATCCATTGCAAACCCATGTAGAATCCTATCCTATTGCAAACCCATGTAGAATCCTATGAAAAATTAATCATTGCAAACCCATGTAGAATCCTAGGCAAAATTAACCATTGCAAACTCATGTAGAATTGTATTAAAATGATCCATTGCAAACTTATGTAGAATCCTACATTGCAAACCCATGTACAATAGAATTGTATGAAAAATTATCGATTATAAACCCATGTACAATCGTAACAAAAGTAATGAAATAAAAAAAAAATTGCGCCAAGTGAAAGTAGAAACTTGTACCAGTGGAAAATTAAAGTTGCAGACATATATAGAGTCGTATAATGAATCAGTAAAAATTTAAATTTGCAAATGTAGAATCGTACCATAAAAAAACTTATCTTTTAAAAAAAAAGATAAACAAGATGCCAAGTCCATGCGCCATGTGAAAAAGAAATAAAAAAATTTTAGTTAAAAAAACTGGGAGCGCTGCTAAATAATATTCTAACAATATTAAAATTAAATTGTTACTTTTAAACTCATTACAGTTAAAATATGTTTTGTGTTTAAATTAATTAATGTTACTTTAAGATGCATTGTAATTTTGAAACTTAGCAGCGCGCCCAGTTTTTTTAACTAAAATTTTTTTATTTCTTTTTCACATGGCGCATGGACTTGGCATCTTGTTTATCTTTTTTTTTAAAAGATAAGTTTTTTTATGGTACGATTCTACATTTGCAAATTTAAATTTTTACTGATTCATTATACGACTCTATATATGTCTGCAACTTTAATTTTCCACTGGTACAAGTTTCTACTTTCATTTGGCGCAATTTTTTTTTTATTTCATTACTTTTGTTACGATTGTACATGGGTTTATAATCGATAATTTTTCATACAATTCTATTGTACATGGGTTTGCAATGTAGGATTCTACATAAGTTTGCAATGGATAATTTTTAATACAATTCTACATGGGTTTGCAATGGTTAATTTTTCATAGGATTCTACATGAGTTTGCAATGTTTAATTTTTCATAGGATTTTACATAGGTTATGGATACTTTAATTCTAGTAAAGAATTTTTCGTTCCGTATATAATCAAAAAATAGTTAAATAAAAATAATATTTATCGATAAAACAGATATAGCATCTCCTTAATACGTATATATTAAATACTAAATTTAATAATTAATATTATATATTAAATATTATATTTAATATTTAATATTATATATTAAATAATATATTTGATATTTGATATTTTATATATTATATAATTAATATTTAATATTTATATATTTATCATTTAATATTATATATTTAATGTTATATTTAATATTCAATATAGCTTTGGAAACTAGTTTATTGCGAGAACAGATATAGAAATAAAATGGTGTGCTTGAAATAATATGTTGACAGAATTTTTTTACTTAATTAATTATAAAAATCTAACTATAAATAGATTTATTATGAATATAAACATGAGTAATGAAAAAATACTCACTGCATTTAAACATCCCTTTATCAGAATCAGTCGATGCACTTGATGCATCAGATTGATAGCCGATTGAAAGAAGTTTTTGATTGCTAAAACGGAGTACGGTCATCAAAGCAATATCCATATTTCCATTGAGCGCGCTTAATTCCTGCGGACTATGAAAGTTCTCTGTCTGACATTGTATTTCTTCATTGATTCGATTTATATTCGCGTTAGTATCGTCGTCCAAGTTCACGAATCCACCATTAAAAATTTTGTTTATCTGTGAAGGGTTTTCGGAAAGCTTACTTTTTTCAATAAAACACATACTTTTGCTCTCGTAATCGCATTCAGCCGCAAATGCAGATACATTTTTCTAAAATAAAAAGACATCAAACATTTGTGCGATACCAAATCATTTATAAATAAAATATATTTGTCGTGTATCTAAATCGCTTTATTTACATTTCTATTCAAGTACACTGAATCTTTATGTTACGTTTTTTATTCTAAAACCGCGTCTACTTATTTAATTGAAATTATTAATTTATATAAATAATTCTAAATTAGATATCTCGATAAGAAACTTTTTCTGAATTTCATTTATCGTTGTAAGATTTAAAATGTATCAAAGTTTCGAACCTACATTGCATAAACATATTTTTTTTATTACTTTTATTGCTTAATAAATTATTTAGAGTTGTGAAATTCTTCATTTTTTGATAAATAAATTTAATTGTGATTAATACAAAATGTCATGAAAATTTTAAATTTTGTTCCAATATTGTTTTAATCAATTTATGCTAAAATGCTTCAAAATTATTTACCTCTGCGGTCATCTCCGTTTCAAAGCTTTTATCAAAATTAACAGTATCTATCAAGTCACATTTTTCCGAGACTTCCGTTAAAAAAAGGATTTCTTTTAAGCTTTCTTCGATAACACCACTGGACGTAAGATAAGCCAATAATAGTCCTTTATATAAGTTATATGGACTAAAGGCAAAATTGTCTTTCGAATTGAAAAACTCATATTTTTGTAGACTGTTGATCGAGAACTTGAAAAGCGCCTCCGTGAATATTTCTTCTGATAGAGGATATAAAAAATAATATGAAAGAAAAAAAGTAAAATTGACGGAAGATATATAATATTGAAAATAGAAAGTCAGGATAAAATACGATTAATAAATTAATTATTAGGTAACGTATTAGAATATTTGAAATTAAAACGGCGTTATAAGTAAGAAATGTAACGTATTAAAAGTAATTTGCAAATGTATACATAGATAAATACATATTTATGATATCTCAAATTTAATTTTAAACTCGAGAAACATTATAATCAACAATATATAAATAATCGAAAGAAAAATAGAGAAAGAGACTCGCAAATATATTATTACTTATGTTTACTAACATGTATACGTTTTAATCTTTGTTAATACATAACGAACTCTAAGAAAAATATTTTGCTCACATTTTCTACAAGTAGAATAAATGCAAAATTCGAGCTCGTGTAATTTTAATATTGATTTTATTTAATAGTAATATGTGATACTTAACAATAAAAAAAATATATTCTGTAATAATTTTATTTATTTAAAATGATCTGACAGTTATTCAAATATAATTTTGTCGTCTACGCAGTGAAATTCGTATATTAAAATTACATTTATTTCTTCTATACCTAATACGCAAAAATGTACCATAAAATATGAATGCCATCAGTTTTTGAAATAATGTACACGGCTCAATTTGAATCTAATGAATTATGAGGCTTGCTATGCAATGTGCTTTAAATTACGTTGAAATTTATAAGATTACATAAGAAAAGTATGTTAAAAGAATAATATTGCACAAAGGCTTATATCATTGGATATTCTTCTTAACTGTTTGTAAAATCGGAATCAAAATTGCATAATTTTGTAAACGATCTTTCGACTCACCAATTGTCTTCTTTTCATCTTTCTGCTCCATTTTAGGTTGTAAAATAGCAAAATCGTGGCAAACGCTTGCTGTGTCTGTTTGGTTCTCGATATTATGTAGCCGTTTTAATATATATTTATATTATGTGGCGCATGCGTATATTGTTGCCGAATGTAATTTGTGCGCGAAAACTTAAATTAAATGTGACTTAACGCTTTGGACATTTGAATCGTCTAAAATTTCTTTTTTAATCCAGAGCTACATATATTTATATAATATAAATATATAAATTTTGAAGCATTTTCATTAATGCAAAAATGTGTGAAAAAAACCTAAAAATATCTTACAATATTTATTCAATGACTACATTGAACGTTTGTTTAATATTGAATAATTAACAAAAAGAAATTATAATCTACATATTTTATTTAATTTTTACGTTTATTCAAATTTATTTTCTGCGATGAAAAGTGAGGAAGTAATACTTTAAAATTTAATTTATTGAGATATATTTAAAACGCTAAAATAATACTTACATTAAAATATAAAACTTGACAACAGCATATATAAATATTTATTCATTGCAACTTATATTTTAGATTATTTTATATTCAATAAATTGACTGCAAAATTATAAAATTTTATACAATTATAAATGACAAACAATTTCAATGTTTCTCACAAAAAATATTAATATTGTTTATTTGAAGAATAAACCCTACAATTATATTTTCTATATATTTTGCTCAATTTGGCACTATTTACAATTAAATGAAAAATACAGTAATTAAAATTTATAAAATAGTAATCTAACAAAAAGTAATTAGTAAAATATTCGAAAAAAACAGTCTTCATTTAAAGTTCGATGCTTTTTTTATGTTGGAAATGTCTAAAAGAAAATAAAACCAAGTTTTGTTCTGTATATATTAATCGTATATTGGTGGACACTTTTGGGTGTAAATGTTTGGCCTATGACGGAGTCATTGCCTATAAAAAAAATATATATAATTAATTATAATTAATGTATTGTTAACAAATAATTACAATTTTATCAATCACCACACAGAGAGAACTCTCTTAGAATTTACCCTGAGAATCATGATAATTATAAGACAATATGCCACTGGAAGAATTTTATAAGAGTTTCTCTGATTAATATTTACCATAATAAAAATATTAATATTTAGAATATAATTATTATTATTTGACATATTATTATTAAATATTAATATCGACTACAATAATGTATAAAATATGTTCAATTAATTTTACTATGTACATAGTAAAATTTGCTATGTACATATTAATATCATATATTATAATAAATATTAATTAAAAAAACTCATAAAATTTTTCCAATATCATATCAAGGTGTTTAGCGGTCAGGGAAATCTGGAAAATCGGTCATTGTCAGGAAATTTTATAAATCTGAAATTGTCAGAGAAAGTCAGGAAATTTTACTATTTATATGAATTTTTCAAAATTCTACATTGGTCTCAATAATTTAAAATTTTTATTAAATAAATATAAACTTTTTTTTGACACTAAGCACTCTAATTTTCTGTCTTGTTAAAAATCATCTACAGCGTGTTTGTTAATTTATATTTTCATCATCGTCTTTTATATTTATCATCGTCGTATTATTTTATTTCAATGTGTTTGATAGAGACAAAACTAAAAAATTTTATATAATATAAATTAAAAAAGTGATTATTTAAATAATTTATGGTTACATGTTTGTTTTGATTATTGTACACAATTAGATTGTATAATTAATTTAAATTTTTGTTTTAACTACCGAACCTTTTTATTGTTGACAAAAATATTTCAAGGATTTCATAATTTAACATTGAATTGATTTATCCATACAGATATATGCAATTATATATTTGGAAAAAATAATATTAAAAAGTTAGGGAAATAATTAATTTCTGATCTTAGAAAATTCGAAAAAATTAAGGAATTTTTTTCATGAGTCTGCTGGACCTCCCGTATATTATCCGCGATTACCATGATTTTCAGGGTAAATTTAAAAAGAAAATTTTCTGCGTGCATTAACAATATTCTTTACCTTTAATTGAATAAAACGGCCGTTTTATTTACAGCAATATTCCATTTTTCCTAAAAGGCCATTGCAACGTTCCCATTTCTTTACACGATATCCTGGTCCTAAAACGTTACACCAGTCGCCAGCTGAGTGAGCGTGACATCCTGTCCAACGGCATTCAGCCTCAACCACAGACATCATCATTAACTCAGCGATGGCCAACATGCACACCACGAGCATCAATTTCAGAGCCATTTTCAGTTGTGAGGTTTCAGAGCTTATTAACTGTACTAACCGATGCCATCTTTGACTGTTATTTATACAAATCTCGGATGAGTAGTGAACCAATAATCGAGAAGCATAACGCAATTAATATAATTATTATTTACTCATTTTCTCGATAAATGACGTTGTTTATAAAGCAGTGTAATTTTTCCGCTTGCGATAACACAAGATTACTTCGAAAGAAATATAGAAAAAAAATTAGCTAATTAAACTGAATGGCGTAAAGTAAAAAACAAAATAAATAAAATTCTCCAATGACCAAGCTCTTTTCCTCGTTGCAATTTGCAATTTAAATGAGACATAGATTCATTTTTTTTTATTAATTCTAATTATTCTTTCGTTTTCCTTTATTGTAACGTCATAGTAGTTTTTAGTTTTCTATTTAGTTTCCAGTCAACTTAAAATATACATGAGAAAATACAAATTAATCATATATATAGCCACAATATATGTAGCCTAAAATAGAGCGCAGGAAGTTGAGAAAATATCCACTAGTAAGAATAAATATTTTTTATATTATAGAACAATTTTAAATTCCGGCTTCACAAACAGATAATTAAAATATACAGCGCTAATGTTTTTCTTGTGTTCTAAATATTATTTTCAACAAATTATTATTGGGTAATTTAATATATTTTGATGCAATAGTAACTATATTATATAGCAAATCTCGCGATTCTTTATAGTACTGGAACAATTTTATAAGTTGAAATATTTATAAGAATAAAAATTTTTTATATTATGAATACAATTTTAATTTATTCCAACAATAAGATTAGAACCGCGCAGCTTTTTTTTAACGTTGTGGAAATATTATCTTTGCTTTTTAAATCTATTAAATATTTTTACAAATAAGTTAATTGGCAATATATTAATAATATTATTAGCAAATCGTCGGCGATTCTTTATAGTACTGGAAAAGAATCGTTTTCTTTAAAGTTTCTTTGATTAATATTTATCACAAGTTTAATATTAATATTTAGTTAATATAATTAATATATTATATTTTTATTATAATTATTATAGAATATTATAATTAAATAATAATATCTACTACAATAAGATATAAAATATGTTTAATTAATTTTATTATGTACATAGTAAATATTTTAGTGTATAGTTATATATTTTAGGTGGATGAAACCTAGTATTTTGCATTGCGAAAAACATAGAAGGAAGAGAGAATTAGCGGAAATGTTTTTTATTAAAAAATATAAGAATAACATTAATTTGCAAAAGGACACAGAAAATCTAAATCCGATTTATGATAAGTTGGTCTACAGTATATAATTGTTTATTTATTTATTTATTTATTTTGTTGTATTGTCGAACTTTGATATTATTGTGTTTTTAACGTTTGACTTAAATTGATTTACTTGTCTTCAGTTTAACATTAGTAATTTTACTGCTGTCGATTAAACATCTTAAAAGGTACATTACATTATTTTTATATTATTTTAAATTTTTTCGTTAACATCTTTGTAAATTATTGTTTCATATCTTAATCGTTGTATATTTTTTTGTGCAGTTACATTTGAAAAGGATCCGTACTTAAGTGTTGAAATGTAGTGTTTCTAATTAAATTGTACTGGCCAGTTAGGTCGAAATTTCAATAAATTAATTAAATAAGTTACTAAACTAGAAAAAAATTTTTACTACGAAAACGCGTAATTCTTATTTCTATTGTTTACAACAAACTGCAAAGGAAGACAGCAGTACATATATTTATATTTAATATAAAGTTACTAACAAGGAAACCATCACAAGTGTCCGACGCCGTTTTGATTTTTCTTGAAATATGTTATAAAGTACACAAATTTAAGGTACACGTATTTTTTTATACGTGCCCAATCGAAGGTTTAGAAGGTGGTTCACCCTTATGAAAAAATGAATTTTTTTTTTGCAAGGAAATATTATTTAAACAAAATAAATAAAATGTTTGAAACAGAAGTAACAGTATTTTATGCATCTTATGCCAGTGTACTTCAAATTTAAAAAATTTAAAATTTTTTCGAAATCTTCCCCCATCCCGTCCAATGACAAATTCTATAATTTCCAATTTGTTCATAAAATAGGAAAATCGGAAAGTTAAGCAGTTTTGATTGTTATATTATTTAACAATTATAATCTTACTCACTTAATGTTAATCAACGCTGCTTATACATGAAATGTTTGCACTGGTAGTGAATTATTTTGTCTGAGTGTCTTTTGTATAATTTTCAAATCTTACACCATTTTCTAACTACATCCCTCATTTTAGAGGTAACTGTTTTATCAAATCTCATCCTGCATCAAAATTTTTCAATACCACATTGTTCTTGATAGATAACTATTTACCTGAAAATTAACTTAACCCACTAACTCGGACTAATTTCAGGTTATACTACTCACGAATATATTTTTGTCGACGTATTGCATATTTTTAAATAACGTCATATAAGCATAAAATATATTTTTAAATGTCATTAAAATTTCTCAGAACTAAATTGTTCTTATAGGATAACTTTTCGTGAAAATTAACTAAGATATTAAGTCGGACAAATCTCGGGCTGTACTACTCATAAATATATTATTGTCTGCCTATTGCATATTTTAAAATAATGTCGTTAAATCTCTAAATACTACATCGTTTTTTGGTAGATAATTACTTTCGTGAAATTAGGATAAAGTAATGAATCGGACTAATTTCGGGTTTTAATACTCAGGAATATATTTTTATCGGCGTATAGTATATTTTTACATAATGTCCTCATATCTTTCAATATTACATTATTTATTGTAGGTAACTACTTTCTTGCAAATTAGCTTAGTCCATTAAGTCGGAATAATCTTAGTTTATACTACTAACAAATATATTTTTGTCGGCGTATAATATATTTTTAAATAATGTCATATCGGCGTAGAGTATATTTTTAAATAATGTCATTAAAATATACCATTATTACATTGTTCTTAAGAAAGAACCATTTTCGTAAAAATTAACTTAATTCACATTACGTCGGACGAATCTCAAGTTATACTACTCACGAATACATTTGTGTCGGCGTATAGCATATTTTTACATAATGTTGTCAAATCTGTTAATACTACTTTGTTTGTGGTAAATATATTTTTGTGAAAATTAGTTTATTGTTAGTCCATTAAATCGGATTAATCTCAGGTTATACTACTAACAAATATATTTTTGTCGGCGTATTGCTATTTTAAAATAACATCGTCAAATTTTCTTAATACTACATCGTTTTTAGTAGATAACTACCTTCGTGAAAATTAACTTAATCCACAAAAGTCTATAATAAACTAGATTGCTAACATGGATTCCGGACGTGCGTCGTATGAAGTTTCCAGTTGTATGAGAGAAAATGGCGGCAGTCTTGAATATGTCAGCATGATCGATGAATTTGTTGTCATAAATAGTGCTGTCATAAAAACTTCTGTCAGAAGAAATAAAACAATATTCTATTTCATAGCCACGCTGATACACACAGTCACTATATGTAAAACTTACATAAATGTCAAGTTTGACACACAAAATCGCCGCCATTTTTTTTTATACAACCGGAAACTTCATACAACGCAAGTCATACTATTCAAATAGTGAAATGTTGGTAATCTAGTTTAGTATAGACATCTGTCTTAATCTATTAAGTTGGATTAATATCGAGTTATACTACTCACGAATGTATTTGTGTCGGCGTATAGCATATTTTTACATAATGTCGTCAAATCTGTTAATACTACTTTGCTTTTGGTAAATATATTTTTGTGAAAATTAGCTTATTGTGTTAGTCCATTAAGTCGGATTAATCTCAGGTTATACTACTCACAAATATATATTTTTGTCTGCGTATAGTATATTTTTAAATAATGTTATAATGGCATATTTGTAAATAATGTCTTCAAATTTTCTTAATACCACATTGTTTTTTGTAGATAATTGCGTTTGTGAAAATTAGCTAATCCACAAAGTCGGACTAATTTCGGGTTATATTACTTTTGAATATATTTTTATTGGCGTATAGCATATTTTTAAATAATGTCTTAACGGCATAAAATTTATTTTATACATCAAAACATATTATTTGCTTTTAAAGCCAAATATTTTTATTTATTTATAATTATATAAATAAACGTTATTTCGTACATCAAAAAATAATTATGAAAATATAAAAAAATAGATAGATACCTATATACGCATGTAGCATATATCAAGTAAAAAGGAATCAAACATTTATCTATTCTGTTATAATTGGACCATGAAAACAAAAGATGTTCATTTGATATATTATTTTAAAATAAAGTATGATGCCATATCAATATTACAGCAAAACTAAAAATAAAATAATGTTAAGCATATGGTTATACATATTTAAAGTAGAAAAAGACAATTCATTTGTTTTTATATCTTATTACAATATGGAAATAATATTTTATATCTTATCACAATATAAAAATAATATTTTTATTAATTTTATAATCTGTACTATGTAAATAATATATAATGTTAAATTTTGACAACAAATGGTGTTTTCCTAACAATTCCCCTATCGTTCCCGATATAAATAATTTCATGACAATTTTATGACAAGAGAATATTGAATATATACATACATAAATGCATTTAAATAAATATATATGTATATAACATATTAATACAATAAACATATATGTACATACATATTTTAAAAATACAATATGTACGTATATAAGAATATTCAATGCATATATATATATATATATATATATCTATATGCATAACACATACCATACATATGTATGTGTAAATACATATATGCACATATATTTTCTGATTTACTGAAATTTAACATTTACATATTATCAGATAATCACATCGATTTTTTCAATTATAATATGTCCTGTTGGTCAGTGAAAAAAGACAGTAATAACGACAGTAGTAAAACGAAACAATTGTAAAACGATAATATTCAAGAATAAAATAAAAATGTAAG